GAAATTAGTATTACAATGCTAATGTTATTATATGAAGATTTTTATATATTATTGGATAATCTGGATTTATCAGAAGAAATGATGAATGGAGAAAGAACTTGGTCAACTTATCTTCCATTACTTTATCGTATAAATCAAATTATTGGGCATTATCCAAATATAAAAGGTCTTTATTTATTTGATATTGTTCCACAACGTAATTATGGAACTTGTTATATGCCTATTAAGACAAATCATTTATATGATATATTAAAGCGTGCTAGTAATAATCTAGTTGTAGAAATTTCAAAAACACAATTTGGAGATTCTACAAGAAGTAATTGGGCTCAAATTTTTAATATATAAAAATATGGTGAAAGGTTTCAATGTTGTATTGAAACAGACTTAGTTGGTATTTGTATTTATTAAACAAAAAAAATAAGAGATAAAAGGAATGATAATGATTATAGTATTGTGAATTTAATTGAAAAAACAGTTATTGGACTTGATTCGGGTAGGAGGGATCTATATGTAACTGTTGATGATAATGAAAGGGTTATACAAATTGGTATAAAACAATATCATCATATGGCAAACTTTATACGAAATCATCGTAAATAAAAAAAGTGGTTAAAAAGTGTATTTTATAATTTTTTTTTTTTTTTTAAGTGCGGTAGTTTTGCAAAATCTTTATTGATAATATAAAATATAAAAATTACATAAAATAGAAGTTACGAAAATCTCTATCTAAAATAATAAAAATACTACTTTAAATCAAAACCGACCCTGCATTTTCTCAGAATCAAATATAAAAAAAGAAATTTTACATCATCACCTTCCAGTAAACTGACCAAAAAAAGGAAAGGGCTTGGTCCCTACTACACCAAAAATTTGACCAATGCGATCCTAAGCAGACTATCTTAGAAATTAAATCAGTGGAAGAAAAGTTAGCATATGATGAGCGAAACTGGTAGCCAGACGCCTCTGTATGAGTACGTTTAAGCACATCCGTTAAGTCATGCGATTTTTCAAATACTTTGAAAGCTGAGCATCTATCCATCCAAATGGATTGCAATTGAGTAAAAATAAAGTGCATAAAGTTCGAGATTGCCATCAATATGGATTTCTTTAAGTTGAGATTCGAATATACGAAGTTATACAATTCAGAGGGAATAATTCCTTTGATTAAATCCACAAAAGTGAAGGTATTTGCCGACGATAAAGACCAAATATCTAAAGTCTCCAAAAACACCGTAGTATCGCGTTGAAGAGCATCGCTTAAGTGAAGTTTCGCCTCGTAAAGGAGTTGAAGCATTTCTGATTCTCTGGATGAACAAGTCCATATGTGGTTGAAGTCTTCATGTCTGAGTTGCAACAGAAACAGAGCCAAGAGTTATCATAAAGTGAAGGGTATCGTTTATTAAGGATCACCATTGTAAGAAGCATTTCGAGAATGCGTTGAAGTTTTTTCATTTTAATCGATGATATCTCAAACGTGGTTGATGATAGAGCGACATTATCCAAAATATAGAATGTTGTTGCAACCCAGTTAATATTGAGGTTGATGTATTTGTTATTGATATTAAGATTCAAAAAAGAAACTAGATGTGCAGCATGAGTAATGTCTTTGATGAGTGGTCTAATAGAAGTCGTAATTGTAAATTGGTGAAGATACAACGAAGGATGAGATTGATCAGAAGGTGTTAGGTATAAAGCATTTGAGTTAAGTACTACTTTAGCCAAGACGTCCACATTTTCATTGAGAGCGATTCCAGAGTGGGCTTTTACTTTGTGCATTGTGAGTTTTAAGGAGAATGACTTGACAACTTTAAATAAGCATCGCCAAATATGTAAATTATTGATTTTGAGAAATGGTCTTTGTGAAGGAGAGATTACCAGGAGCAGTTCATATTTTTTGAATTACAAGATAACAGTGGCGGAATCTGTATGAATTTTAATTTGGCAGTCTTTTGAAGCAACTAAAACTGCAGTGAAGATGGCTACCAGTTCAGCTAACGAAGAAGATGGAAAAGAAGCTGTAAGTGCAGTCGCAAAAGAAAGCAAAGGCGAAACAGGTGCAGTTTAAATCCAAGCCAGTCCCATTCTCAGAGAGGGAGTACCTAAATTAACCAAAGAGCCATCAGTAAAAAATTCTAAGTGAGTTGAAAAAGAAAATCGATTTTGAAGGTCTAATAATTGTGAAGTATAAGGTTGAGGTATAAATGTTTCTATAAGTGATGAAAAGGTGCGAGTCATAAAAGAAACATTAATATTATTAGGTTGAGGCCTATTATAAATTACAAATTTTGAAAAGGCAAGGTCATTTAGCAAAGCTAGGGACTAAGCGCAATAGGAAACAGTTTCTGACTTGTTCTGGTAAAAAGGAATTTGAAAACACAAATCCGAAGGAACTGAAAAGAAACAGCACGTCTTTTTTCATTTCACAGAAAATCCTTTGGAGACGAAGGCTAGGGAGTCATGATAGTAATATCTAGAACATTCATTAAGAAGAGTTTTGTGATTGCGTTTAGCTGTTGGTATAAAGTGCATCACATAAACTTGATCAGCGTCGACTTTCAAAAGTTGTCTTATGAAAGGTTTGTTATCACCCATGTGCCATTTTAGTACAAAAACATTTTTGTTTTTATTTTTAATAGGTGGCGGAAAGTCATAATTCAATGATACAATATATTGAAAACGAGCAATAATATCACAAGAGGAGTTATCCTTAAGGAGTGCAGTTTGTAGAATGTCGTATCACTTAGGGAATTTTGGTGAATATGAAATGTCAGATCTGATACAGTGATCGAAAAATATGAGCATTTGATTGCCGTCAGAGTTCACTAATTGTTCCATAAAAAGTAATGAATATTGTCTCAGATTATTGGCGATGACTTTATATTTGGTTGGAATTAAAGATGAGAACTGTAATTAATATGTTGCAACTTTTAATGTTGCAACTTACGTTGCAATTAGTTTTAACCTATATATGTTGCAACATATGTTGCAACTAATTTTAGCTTATGTTGCAACATTTTGTAAATTTGAAATCAATTGCTATACCATTTTTAGTTGGAATAAATGATGATATTTGTGTCTTCCCACCAATAATAAGATTAAGTGTTATGTCTTTCTGATTAAAATTAAGATTCAATTGTTTCCAATCACAAAGTAGGCATGAGAGCCAGTCTTTAAACTTGGTAGCATTATCATAAGGCCATTCGACTTGTGGAGTCACTCCTTATGTTGCAATTGTAGAATTCAAATTTTGATCGTATTACCCATAAGGCCAATATCATTCATCATATAGAGAAGAGCTTCGCTATGTGTTGTCAACAAGCATTGATAGAGGTCCATCAGGTTATAAAATAAATGCGAATAAAAAATCAAAGAAGGTGTATCACGTGATAATTTGAGTTTTCTCTTCATAAAAGTAAGAAATGGCGAGGTAATTTTCTTGCACTGTTGTCTGGTGAAGTAAGTCAATTGGGAACGATATTCAATTCGTGAAATGAGAACTGAATTGTAAATGTAAATGATTTGTTTATCCATAAGTCTTTTAGGTAACATAATAGCAACCGCTAACTTGATTTTACTAGCTAGCGATTTGTTGATGAATGTTTTGTTCGATCCTAAAGAATCCAAACCCCTAGATATCTGATAGAGTCATTAGTGGGAGTGGATGAATCGTAGTCATTCCATTAATTGATGGCAGAGTGATAGGCTGACACAGACTATCTTTATTTGTTAAGAGTACAGATTTGTCCCAATTGACTTTGATGAAATTTAATTCGTAAAAACTATCAGCAATTTTCATAATGTCCGTGAGGTCCTCTCGAGACTTCGCAATCCACAATGTGTCATCTATATAGGCAATTGTAGAAATCTTGATAGAGGTTGTCGCCAGAGTATTGGTAGAAACATCAGGTTTCTACTGATGAGTCATATTGTACCCTAATAGAGAATCGTGTATTCTACATAATAGCAGATCATAATAGATACACCAAAGAAGTAGAGATATTATTTCACCTTGATCGATACCCGAAACAACTCTGTATGGGTCAGTATTTCTAAAGAAAGTAAAGACCTGGTTAAACCGATTATTGAATATTTTCAGGATGAATCTAATAAAGTTAAAAGGGATGCGAAGTCATTCGAGTGCTCTTACGAGCATGAACAAGTTTACTCAATCGTAAGCTTTAAACATATCTTGCGATAGCATCCAAAGGTCCTTTTTGTTCGTGATAGAGTCGAATTTAATATTGTCCACTATACGAAGTGATTCAAAAGTCGATTATAAGGAAGCCTAGCGAAATTGAGTCCTTTAAGCACGTTGTGTTAAATAATAATTATTGACAGTCTCCGATTGAGCAACTTTATAAGAGCTTTTCGAGGGTATTCTAAAAGTGTGATAGGTCTAGTATTGTTAAGATCATACTCCCATGGTTTCAGTTTTGGAATTGGGTAGACGAATGCCATATTCCATCGATGTGAAAAAGTCGACTCCAATAAACAATGTTGAATAATATACCAAAGTAATTTATTCCCGTGTAGACTGAGGTGTTTTAACATTTCGTTTGATACTTTAGAAAAACTAGGAGCTTTTCTATTTGGCAATGTAGCGATAACATTGTACTATTTCTCAGCTGTGAGTAGGGTTATGAGTCTATCATATATAGAGCTATTGATATTATCTAATGGTTTATAAAAGGAATTACACTCGTCTGGAATATCCATATTCTCATGCAAAGTACCAGCAGCCAACTGGAAATGCTGATTAACTCTTTTTTGACAAAGGTTTCATCTGTTAGAAGGTCACGTGATCCAGTCACATCATCAAGACATCTATTTAACACAATAGTCTTTTGTAAACGATTCAGTACCGAATCGATCATTTGAGAAGGAGCTGCTGTATAATTGTCTAGCCTGCTTTCTATTGCTTGTTGTATTGATTTCAACTTGAATTCTTGCTCATGTAATTTAGAAAACACATGTTTGGTGTAGGAGGTAACGCTATTAGATGATATCCGAAAACGTTAGAGATCTCATGAAATTTGTTGTAAATTATGGACCAATCCTCAGATAGTTTATCAGACTTATATGCCGTCTTGATTTTCTTATTAAACTTATATAAGAATCTGAGAGTTTGGATAACAAAGGAGGTTTCTTTAGTTTATATTGTCCAGATGATTTATGTGATGGGATGACATTATCGGCAGCTTTGATTATACAGGCTTGCAACAAGTCCCAGTAGAAATTGAGTTTGGACTGATTAAATTTCGTATTGAATCTTAGGAGGTGCAATTCACAACTATTGATGAGGGCGTCCATTTTGGTTTTATATTCTGACCAGAGTTCATCAGTCA